TGTGTCTGAGAGCCAATGTCATTTACCAAGATCCAATCTAGAGAGATTGTCTTGTTTGAAAAAATGTTTTTCTTTCTCTTTTATTTTCAAAGTTATGAAAATATCAATTAAAAGAGTTTCGAAAAATGTTTAATCAAAAGTTTTGAAAATATTGTCCCTTTCACGGTTTTACAATTGAGACGAATCATAAAACTAGAGTTCATTGGATATCAAAGAATTAATTACATTGTTAATCCTTCAATAAATTATAGCTATTTGGCAAGTGCTAAGATCAAAGCTATCTTTGAGAAATGATTAAGTAAGGAAATGATAAAAAAGTCTTAGGTTATTGTGTTTGGTCAAAGGTTTAGCATTTTTGTTTATTTGATGCTCAAAGGTTTGATGGGGTAGTTTGTATGCTCCTCTACTGGAAGTGTTCTCCGACTCCCAGCTTTCATGGTCATGATCGGATTGTGCGATTCCTTATCAAGGAATTTGTGTGATCGTCTCAGCTGCACAATTTTTATATTTATGCCGCCTTTTCAGGTTTTTAACTCGAATCCTCCTTTGGTTTCAAGACGTCATTAAAATTTACATCTTGAACCCCCCTTTGTTATTTTTCTCTAGCATGCATTAAAGATTTTAGAAAACTTTTTGCAAATAAAAATTAATCCTAATGGGCGGGATGAAATCTGAAGATAGTCTCTTCTGTTCAGAAATCCATGTACGATTAGAAGGGACTTTTAAGGCACGTAATGTAGGTCATGGTTCATGGTTATGAAAGAAATGGATAAAAGGCCCAAACAAGTGTTTAAGGGTGATTGAACCAAGGACCAATTCATTATGATGTCTTCGATCTTGTCTTACTCGATTTGAATCTGCTCGTATGTATCTTTCTCTTGATGCTCTATGATCTTCTAGTGAAGTGATTCTGGAATAATTTGCTTGATCAATCTCATGGTTTGAAGCTCGATGCGTCATTTGAGTCGAGGAACTCTTTACATGTGTTTATTGTCTTCTTTTTTTCTTTATTTTTCCTTTGTTTTTGTTTCTATTTTTTATTTTTCTCTTTTCTTTTTTTCTCTTTTTGTTCTTGATTGGATCTTTGCACTTGGCATTTGGTTCACCTTTTGGTATCTCCTTTAGATTGATGTTTTCACTTATGTGAGCATCTTCACTCATGTGAGCAGATTTCTTCCACCTTGCCCCCCAGTGTGGAGGGTGATCCTTGGTTAGGGTTGAATCAGAAGAAAAATACTACAGGCTCAAAAGGGGACAACAAGGGAGATATATATATATATATATATATACATACATATATGTATAAATGAAACAAAGTCATTCATCATCTCATACACAAAGGTCTTCATAGAAGAGGTATCCTCAGGGGGATAGATTTTCAGGATTAATTTTATTCACATGAAAACAGTGTAATTAATGTATGATAGAATTATTTTGAATGAATTTTTCTTTCTGTTTCTTGCTCTCAACATGTCTCAGTGTTCAGGTTCTTTGTGAGATGCCCCAAGTTGTGTCTTAGAAGAATGCTCATGTTCAAATGAACAACTCAATGCCTTAGGTTTTATTGGTATAAAATTGTCAATTTTGCTTCTAAAAAGACAATGGTGTGACTTTGTTGACCCAAAGAAATGTATGGTAGACTCTTTGTGTATCGAAAAGATAAAGGCAATGGTCAAAATTTTCAAAGAGAGGTAATGTCAAAATCTGGTCTTTTGGTAATGCCCATGAGTTATTTTGGGTAAAGAATCAAGGTATTTTATTTTTAGGGTTTTAGACAGGATAAGAGAGGTTTAATCTTGCCATATGTCAAAAATCTATAATTCTTGAAAAATTAAAAAAAAATCTTAATTCATTTAATATTCAAAGAACTAAAGATTAAAACTCGTTTAATTATTCTACCTTAAAAGGTAGCATAAATTCAATCGTTTAAAAGATTAAGCAAATATGAAAGATCAAAAACAATGCTCTAAGTGCAAATGGTAGATGCAATGCCCCCTTCTTCAATTGTCCATGCCCCTAAATCCATCAGTTTTGGGATCTTGCGCTTCAGTGTCTTACAGTTCTCATAGGAATGTCTGGAGCTTCCTATGTGGTAACTGCACACAGCTTCAACATCGTAGCCCTTAGGATATGGGGACTCTTTTCTCATATCATCATGGCAGGCTCAGTCCTACAACTATTTGATCAGGCTCCCATTGTACTGATTTATTTTTTCTTTAATTGTTAAACTCTTGCTTCCATGTGGTGTCGTGGTTAAGACCACTTCATCGAATCCTCCATGAAGTAATTTCATATTTATGAAAATTTAAAAAATGAAAATGCAAATGCAAAAATGCATGAAATGTTCGAGGCATTGATCCGAAAACATGTCTGTTATTATAAATAATCTTTATTGAGACAGAAGTGTTATTTCTTAAGAGACAAAAACATCCTAAAGGTACATCCTGACTAAGTCTTCTATACCCGAAACATATTGACTGGTCATCTGCTTCGTCTGTCACCGATTGAATACCCTGTCGAACCACTCTGGCTTCTCTGGCTAAACCGTACAAGTGACGAGCTGGTTTTTGCACTTGCTTCACGAAGTCTCGAATTACTGCATCTCTAGCTTTCATCCTTTGTTAAGCATGTTCCCAACGAAAATGCCATTGAAATCCTCCATCAAAGGGACTATATGAAGTTCATTCTCTTGTTTCTTGAATTCGTCAATAATGACCTCCAATTTCAGCTTCGCTTTGCCATCTTGTTCTTGTTGTCTTTGAAGGGACTCTCCATGTCAGCAATCTTTTTCTCGTCTTGCCCCTGCAACCTTTGCCAAACCATTTTCGAAGAGTGGACTTTTGATGTGCTTGGTGTAAATCCCGGTCCATTCTGAGTTATTCATAATGCAACAGAGTGGTATACTCCTCGATTATGGGCACCATGTCTTCTTGATTGAATGTGACAGATAATTGCCTTGGAGAGTGTCTCCCTTTTCCTTCTGAGTCTTTTCTAATCATAATTGGACCTCTGAGCTTTTCATCTCATGTATTATAACCCATTTGTCCATTAATGCAAATTATTTATGTTTAACAAACACATTTTTGTGGATCAACACCTCTTTTGAATGATGTAAGTGATAAAAAATAAAATAGAATAAAACAAAAATGAAAGGAAAAAAATATTAGTGAGATAAAGATGATAATCAAAATGATAATAAAAGTCCTACCCCACATGATATCTACCCTATATGCTTATTATTCCTACTCGGACATGATCTATATCCCAAATGTTAATTTTAAACCAGTCCTAACCGCATAAATTTCTAGTTCATATGCTTTGAACATAAAATAAAGCAGGAAATAATTCAGGCATCCTAGGTTTTGAAGTGAGGTTTTGGGTGGGCTCTAATTCCCTGTAGTCTCCCGGTTTAGTTATAAAAACGGTACCTGAATTCTCCTTGCTGGTGCTCCCTTGGGCTTGCCAGACCCTTAGTTCTAAGCCCATTACAAGGTTATGTGGACTAAGTTAAACTCGAGAGGATGCATTCCCTTATGCCCGCACGGTGAATAAATTCACACGAAGACATAAGGTATATGAATCCCGAAGGTTACTTGCTAGGCCCATACGGAGAATAAATTCTCACGAAGGCGTCGCGTTCACCCCCACTTAAAAGGGTTCAAAGCTCGGGTATAGAGCCTTAGATGTAAAAAGTTAAAAATCCGAAATCATTGAAAAAAAGTCAGTACAACTATTTATTTGAAAAATAATCAAAGATAAATAATTGGAATCAAATAAATAAATTAAAATTTAAACTTGCAATTTTCGCTCAAAAAGACAACCGAAAATTAATTTCGACCTGACTACTTACCTGTCCCCAGCGAAATCACCAATCAGTCGTAACCATTTTTCGGGTAGACTGGAATTAGGCTTCGACTTGAATAATTGAGTTAGAGTCGCCATCGATCATTTTAAAAATAGTTAGGTGGATCGGACACGTCTTACCTGATCTGCATTTTACCATAAATGTGTCGGGTTCGGGAGTCGGTTACGGTCAAGGAAAGATTAACACCCTTGAACCACCCTTTCGGTACCGATTAATTTATTGGTTGTCTTTAATTACAAAAATTAAAATTAAAATTTATAAAAGAAAAAGCACATTTGAACCACACAAGCATATAATATTTATACAAAGAAAAAGCAAAATAAAGAAGCACATGCTTATCGACAATCTTGTGCATATATAAATTCCTGTCACGCGTAACTTGAATCTAATGCTTGAGTAAGCTTGCCAAGTTTCAAATAGAAATAGGAGCTGTAAGAATGAAAACCATGCATGTCCCACATTTGAACCACACAAGCATTCTTAAACCATTCATGCATGTCCCACATTTGAACCACACAAGCATTCTTAAACCATTTCATCATTTATTCCATTATAAAACATTAAAAACTAATAATGATAATGTCTCATTATTTAAAAAAAAACAGGTGAATGGATAAATGATATAAATATGGCTTGCCACTCTCGAAGACTAGAGTTAGATATTGGAAGAAGTGAGTGGTGAGAATTTCTAATGCAGTTAATGTTGATCAACAGTGACAACCAAAAAGGATGTTATTCCCACTAAAAACGGAATAAAGGGAAAAAAGGTATTGCTAGACAGAAATATCATGACAATGGAAACACATTCTAAATTTAGTAAAAAAATATGACTTACTATACTAGCCTGAAACACGAAGCAAGATCCAGAAAGTGGAAACCATAAAACAACTGAAAATTCACTGTTAGCGGGAAGCAAAAACACAGAAAAAATTCCACTTGAATAAAATAGTAATTCGGCAACTTCTTAACAGTTATATGGTATTAGCAACACAAACAGCCCCCAACGTTGGCAACGGCGATGGGCTACGACGAACCTTAAACCGATGATCGACGACCTTGCTTAATCTTGGAGACGAACGACAGGATGGCGAGTGGTTCCTCTTCGACTCGGCGGCGGCAAGTGGAGTAAGCATGGGGAACTAGAATTTGTGGAACAACAGCAGGAGAAGGTCCATTTGCATCCTCTTTCAATGTCTTTTCCAAGTTGCTAATCTCAGAGGAAATAAGAGATCAAATACGTGGCCTCTTAGCGATGCTTTGAAGCTGCTTAAGCTCCTCCAAATCCATAGCCAATTCTTCTGCCCCTCCCGTGGCCTTTTGGATTGGATTTTTATAGTTTGATGAAGAGGACAAAGTAGAGATGTTGGCCCCGACTCCCATGGATGCTTGCTGCTGAGTTCTAGGAAAAGATGGATGGGTGCCCACGTTTACACGAAGAGAAACAATTTGAGATGCGTGGGGTCCCCTTGGGGCCTACAAAATAATTCTATATAAATTAATAATAATAATAAGTAATTATTATAATAATAATAATAACAATATAATATTTTTTAAGCCCGGTCAAAAACAGGTGTCTACATATAACATTTGGTTTTTCATCTTTAACATTGAATTTCATTTGTTAATATTAGTATCTACAAGAAGATAAGAGCATACCATGAAGATCACCCTTTCTTTTTATCTTCTTTGCATTTAACTTAAGAAATCTTAAAGAATGGAAGTGAGATAGTACATTCTGAGTCGGAAATGAGTTAAGAGATGTTCGTTGCCCACTGAAAGTCGCGAAGTGTGTATATTGTCTTCAGCAATTTCTGGTGAAGACAAAATGGATAAAGAAATTGAAGACTTCCTCGGCTAGATGTTGTTGGTGCTAGTGTTTTGTAAGTAATTTGTTTTCTTAAATATTGTTGTTTTGCATCTCTAACTCCTTGGCTCATTAAAAGTTGCATCTTGGTACTGCATTTTAAGGCCAAAGATGGATAAGTAGCCTGTTTGTAAGTTGTTTGGATATTGAGCAGGAAAGGAATCCAAGTAAATGAGATGTTTAAGGAGATAAGGGCTGCCCTAAGGAAGTGTAGAGATTCAAATGAATCACTAGTTTCAAGTTTGAGATGAAGAGGGTACTAATTCAACATGTTGGACTTGAGTTGCCGATGTCAATCTTACACCATGTTTTCTCCATTGCCAACGAGTTCTGAAACAGTTTTGGCCCATACACTCGTAAAGATGCAAGATTGACTTCGTTAAAAGCTCAGCACTGCCATATTTTAGAGCTGCAACTTTGGTGCCGAAGTTTTTGTTGTCTTGGATATGTATATATTTCTACCATGGTGCTCACTGTCATTTTCTCCATTCACCATCTTGTGTCATATGTTTCTGTATTATTTCTTTCTTCTAACCCCTGAAGTGCATATGGAGCTTTAGGGTAGGAGTTTCAGCTATTATGGATTAAACGATCTAACTTGGCTTATAAGTGATCTATAGGAGATCACGTGGTTGTAGGTCGTAAATAAAATGGTTGTACTTTGGTGTTCTTGACGTTCAGATAAGGACTAGGGTATTTTAAGTTAATCGTAAAGAATTGAGTCAAGTTTGAATAGTTTAATATATCGAGCTCAATTATCAAATGATTACCCTAATACTTCTGATGTTGTCGCACGTAAACTCTACGGCTCGGATGCCAAGCTCAACTTGCCACTTAGTGTCAACCATCAGTATCTACCTCCAGCCAATACTAAGGTCGCGCCAATAGGGAACCAACTTCTTCATACGGTTATGATAACTTTCTTGCTAAGATTGATGGTGAAAATTTTTCCCAAGGAAAGCTAAGAATTTTATAAAGAATCCTCGAGTGGCACCAGATTTCCTTTATTGCTATTCACTAGAATAAATGCCAGCATAGCTGATTACTAAGTCATGCACTACACCGTACCACTAGTGACTTTGTTTGTTGCAACTCATGTTGCTGCATTGGAGTCCTTAATTTGTAGTTCGGAAAGTTGGCCCGCCATTTTTTCTACGTGGATTATTGAGAATTGAAGGAAAGATGCATGTTTTGGAGACTGATATCAGGGTCATTGGTATGCTCAGTAGACCCTAGGGTGGTGTCTGCTCCCCTCTATACATAAAAGGAAACGTAGATATTTGTGCCAAAGTTGTATATGTACAATTTAGGTTGGCTCAAATAAATGTACAGGCCTCTGTTATCGCAGAATGGCCTCACTACAAATAATTCATAAGCATATTATTTCCAATAATCATTCATCAATCCATATGAAATTCAAATTAACCACATGATAGAAGGATTAACTGATACAAGTTACTTCAAATACAACAACAAGAATTAGCTTTATAAAAATAAAGATCAGGCTTAATTGATACCAGTTTCTTAACCACAGAAATGAGAGAAAAAATGATTGCAATTTCTAAATGACAGTAGTTATTCATCTTCAAGAAAAGACCAAACATACAAGCACTAAAACAGTTTCACGAGGACATCAAGCAAACCAACAAACCCTTTTGCTTCCTGATTTACTACCACTGATAGAATATACAGTGGAGGCCTCCTGCCACAAAAAGATACCTACCCAACATTAGTCAAGTTTACCCCCCAGGTGCTTGATGCTATGAAGTTGAGATGGCAGACAGAACAAACCAAGAGAAAGCAGCTACCAGTTTCCTAAACATAAAAAAACGATATTTTCAAGCTTTTGCTCAGTCCAGTGATTTTTTTAATCCAGGTTCAATTCCTTTAGAATAAAAGCCAAAGCAAAGCAAATAAGGATCATCACTCATATGTAGAGATTGATTCTTTCTTAATTCATATCAAATTTTACAGAATACAACCACACAAATTGGTATATAATTTTACATTATCATTCCAAACAACTTATATTAAACTCTTCTAAATTTTTCAAAACCAGTTTATGAAACCCACTTTAAAAACCATTAGGGTGTTTGGTTGGGGAATGTGAATTTCTCATAGGAATGAAATCCACATTCCCCCATTTGATTGGCCGAGAATGTCATTCCCGATAATCTTACATTACCAATAGTGAATTTTTTGGATATATTACCGAAATGTCATTACCTCTCTTTCTTAGGTATTGTTGGATTACGCGTTTTAGACTAAAATACCCTTAAATTTTTTCTTCTTTCAAAAATATCATTATTCTGTCATTGAATAATAAAAATTCTACAAATGTTAAATTAAAATTTATCCTTAAACTATTTTAGATTTACAAAAAAATCTACATTAAAATTTATATGAAATTCAGGAGTTAAAATAAAATTTTAACCTTTCATTAAACTTTTTATATTTTTAATAATGAAATCTTTTTATATTTTTAATTTTGAAAAAAATTATATAAATTTTATGAATTTAATTTTTTTAAAGAAGATATATAAATATTTTTCAACTTATTAAAAAACAAATATATAATAAGGGCAATTTAGTCAAATATACATTCCAATAATCTTTTATTCTTTTAACCAAAACACGGTAATCTTACATTCCTACTAAACCAATCAAACACAAAATACAACATTCCAGTAATCTTATTCCCTGATAATCTTTTATTCTCCATGATAATCTTACATTTGTGAACCAAACAAACTTTTAAGTCATAGCGGTATTCAGGGTGGGTTGACAGGGGATAGGTAGAAGCTATAAGTTGATAGGACGAAATAAATCCTTTCAACAATAATTCTAATCTATGAATTGAAATCTTTTAAACTGCAGTTGAATAATAATGGAGAAGCTTATACCTCAAACATGAATCAAAATACAGCAAGAATGGTTATATTTTGACCCAAAAAGTAGATAATTTGGTGCTTTTCATACCAATCAATGGTAAACATAGATTTATCAGAAAAGGGCACACTTTAGCAGAAAATACCTTTCGATCGTATCATTTGGCTTGGAATGGATTAATTTGTGGCGAGAAGGCAAATGCCATATTCAGTACCCAAGATAGCTCGGATCACCCATATACTCAGCAATCTGTTCAAGTTTCACATTTAGCAACTTCCGACTGTCAGCATCTCTAACAACACCCATTTCTCTATCTAAATCCCTCTCTACCAAATCTCCATATACACCTTTATGCCTACCGTACAATACAAGAACTGGACCACCACGCCTTGGCAATGCAGTCTCAAGCAGTTCCTGCTCAACCCCTTGAATCAACTCCTTATTCTCATCCATTGATATATCACACATGTATGGCCCAACAACATCCACCACCTGCCCTTTCTTCAAATACAGCCTTCCCCCGGCCAAACTTTTACTAATAATCCGAACCCTAATGTGACTTCTAAGCCAAGAAACCCTTCTATCACCATTACTCCTAGTTCTCTCAACATTAACTTGCGTTTCACTCCTTTTTTCACTCTCTATACTCCGTTTGCTAGACTTCCTTTCGCCGCCCTTATGTTTTGACAATTTTTCTTCCCTAATCTTCAACTCCTTCAGTTTCCTCAAACACTTCTCTTCTTCCCTGGAACCCAAATCAGCTATCTCAGATATACGAAATTTAACTTCATCATCCCTGTTCTTCAATTTTAAAACAACCCAATTGCCACCCAACTTCTCCATATTGTACCTTTGGAACCCATCTCTCTTCCTTCGATAACTCTAACATCTTTACCCACAAAAAAGCCATCTCCATCCTCCTTCACTCTTTCTTCTTTGTCGAGATTCTCTTTGACATTCTTCGAACCGTGTATCCTATCTTTAGATTTAAATTCCTTATAACTAAACCCTAACCCCTCTTTGTCGGTCCTCCGTTCGTATTGCTTAACTTTGACATCTTCTTTTGCGTTTTTCCCAATTCCTCTCCCTTCAACCCACCCGTAACCAGCAAGCAAAGCCTTACCGAAACCCTCAACAGGCATATCCTCGAACTCCTCAAACCCTCGATCATCGGGCAGCCTCTCTATATCCTCTTTAAAACTCTGGAGAAGAACCGTCTCGACTGGAGCAGCAGACGCAGTGGCTACCTCAATGATATCAGCCTCGCCCTTGGTAGAGTTGTTACGGAGATTGAGACCGTATGAGATTCCGGACTCCGAGTCGGGATTAATAGATGAGGAATCGAGCTCGAATTTGAGATCACGAGAAGCATCGGATTGGAAAGGGAGATCGAGATTCTTCATTTTCTTGTAGGGACGCCATTCGTTCTGTTTGGGAGGTATAACAAAGGAGGGTTTGGAATCGGCTAGGGTTTTGGAAGGGTCGAATTCTGTGACGAATTCTTTGTGGTTTTGGTCTTCTTGGGCGGCGGAGGGGTTGGGGATGGCCGCTTTCTGGGAGGTTTTTGATTTGGAAGGGAGAGAGAAGGAGAGTTTCATGGCGTCGAATCGAAAATTCACTGAAGAAGAGAGCAAAGCTTTGTGTTGGATCAGAGGATTGGATTAGGTCAAAATTGAAGAATAAAGATTGGGGATAGTCCGATTTGACCTTTGAGAGGGAGAAATAGGAAATACGTTTAAGTAGGAGACCGACACAAACACGGGGCTCCGAAGCAAATTTCCCAATACAACTTCCTTTCTTTCTTTTAGTCCGATTATTTTTTTGTAATTTTAATTTCTTAAATTCGAGATTAATTGATTTCTAATCTATTTTATTATATTTTTCACTTTATAAAAAAATGTTTATTCATTTTAAGATAAATCGTCAATTCAAAACTATTTTTATTTATGAAATACATACACTATTATAATAAAATCAACCTCGTATTAAAGTAACCATCTCTTATGAAGTTGTCTCCCTTCCTTCAACACATTTCTCTTAATTCTATTGTACCTAAGAAGATTTCTTTAGTGTTGAAATTGATAGGAATTCAATAAATATTTAAACTTAAAAAGGATGATGGGTCATGTTTTAATTCGTCTAATTTCAAAATTAAGAGAAAACTAAAAGAAATTTAAATAAAAAAATTTGAGGGTTAAGTTATCTAATTTCAAAATTTAAGAGACCTAGCAAACACCAGCATGACAATAAGGAATCAAAATCCTAGTAGATTGGATGACCAAAAAGAAAACACCATCAGCTTCTAAAGCTAGCATATCTCGAGTCATTTCTATTATGAAAATTTATATTTTCTACAAGGATGCATACATATTGTTACAGACCACCATAAGTTACGATCAGGTCTGACTCTTTGGGCTCATTTGTTATCATTTCAATCATTGAAGTGAATTTCTCTTGCTGCACCATCACTTCCAAAATCCTATCCTCTGAGACATTGCAACCTTTATAGTGCTGAACATCCCTTTTGTGAGAAGAATAAAACAATAATTTTGATAACCAATCCTTCTCAGCTTGTCTATAACATTTTAAACCCTCTATCGTCCCAGACGAGATAAGGTGATAAGTGTATACAACTCTTTGTTATCCAAGCCTATATGCACGGCAAATAGCTTGCCTTTCCATAGACGGGTTCCATGTCACGTCAAGCAAAACCACTCTAGAACCACCAACAAGATTTATACCTTCCAAGCAAGCCCTTGTTAATGCAAGCAACACCCTTGCTTTTCTCTTTGGATCATTGAAAACATTGATTATCCTTTGGCGCTATTTTATTTCACATTGCTCATCCATGTACAATATCTCATCCATTTCCTTCCATTTGAAAAAATCTTTAAGTTGATCCACTATTAGCTTTAATGGTTCAAGGTATTGACTGAAAACTAATGCCTTCTCATCTAGAGCTCCACTAATCTTAAGAAGTTCTATTGGGCTTTAGTCTTAATTCCTTTATCGGGCTTTAGTCTTACTCATTCTAACTCGTTCATACAAATAATGGAGCCAACATTTTTCGTAATATCTTTCTTATGGATAACTGCAGCAACAAAGAATGGTGGGTGGAGATCAAAGACACATAATACTCTCGCAAAAATGAATTTCTTGTTTCTTTAACACGCTCAAGGATTCTATTCTGCAGATTAGAGGGTCGTAAACAACCTCATAATGCCTCAAACTATGAAGGGTAGTTTGTAGAATTGTACCCTTATGCAAATGCACGAAGGGCTTAATCACAACTTTAAGCTCTCTCAATTTTTCAGCTTCATATACATCATCTTTGCCAATGGAATCAGTCAAAAAGTCTCATTTCCTTTTTGCTTTGTTTCCTTCATCACTGCACTTTTTATTAGTCTCTACTCGAAGCCTATATTGGATTCCTTCAGCAAATTTTGGTCTCACTAGGCAGAGAGTATTGAAGAGCTCATCAAAATTATTTTGGAAAGGAGATCTAAAGAGAATGATACGACGTCCCGTTTTGATTCTCAATAAAGCCTTCCACATAAGTGTATCATCATTTCTAGGTGTGCCCTTCATCAAGAACAAAGAGACCAGGAAGCTCAAGAAGTATTTTACTTGTTGAAAATCAAAGTGCACCGAAAGCATGGTGCAAAGTCAAAATTGGTGTACCTAATGCATTGAAAAAAAAAGACGCATAAATTGTCAAAATACACGGCAATTAAGTGAGCTGAAATTGTTGAAATGGGTAATGGTAAAATCTCAATTTTAGTCATTGTACTTTAGGGTATTTATAAGATTAGTCCTTAAGCTTTAACTATAAATACCCTAGCTCATTTAGCTTCAAAACCATCCCAAAGCATTCTAGCTTTCTTCCAATACTAGAGAGAATTTAGAGAGTTTCTTGAGAGTTATTTTCTCTTATTTATCAAGAGAGATTTATCATTGTTTTCTCTTTGGTAGATTGAGAGAAGTTGTAATTCCTATTTTCTCATAGTGAATTTCTTCTATCGTTGCCCGTGGTTTTTACCCTATATCACGTAAATTTTGTGTCTTTTTTATCTTCATATTTTATTTTCTCAAATTATCAGTTGCGATTTTGCTCTATTCGATAATCGTCTTCCGCAACAATTGGTATCTGAGCCAGATTTGAGTGTGTAATATCTGCTTATTGTCTTTGTGGTTGCCACCAAAAGGTGGATCCTCCAACATAAGAAAGTAAGAAGTTATTACTCATTCTTTGAAGGTTCTAGAGAACTATTCACGATAGTGAAATAGTGGGAGCTATCCGTAATAGAAGCTATGGCAACGAAATTTGATATTGAAAAATTCAATGGGAGAAATTTCTCATTATGGAAATTGAAGATGAAGGCCATCCTGAGGAAAGACAGGTTGTCTAGCAACTATCAGTGAAAGGCCGGTAGATTTCACAGACTACAACAAATGGATCGAAATGGATGGGAATACTATACAAACTTTCATCTAGCATTAGCAGATGAAGTATTGTCAAGCATCGAGGATAAGAAGATAGTTAAGGAGATATGGGATCATCTCACCAAATTGTACGAGGCCACATCGTTGCATAATAAAATTTTCCTTAAAAGGAAATTATACACTCTCCGGATGTCAGAATCTACTTCAGTGACGGAACACTTAAACACACTGAACACTTTATTTTCTCAGCTTACATTCTTAAACTGTAAAATAATAGAACAAGAATGTGCTGAACTTCTATGTACAATAAGAGAACAAGAACGTGCTAAACTTCTACTTCAAAGTCTACCTGATTCGTATGATCAACTCATCGTCAACTTGACAAACAGTAATGTCATTAGTCTAGTCTTCGATGACGTTGCAGCTGCTGTTCTACAAGAAGAAAATTAGCGTAAGAACAAGGAAGACAGACAAGTAAATCTGCAACAAGCAAAAGCGTTGACAACGATGAGAGGGAGATCAATGGAACGTTACCAAAGCAACAGTCACAAACATGGTAGATCGAAGTCGAGGAGCAAGAAGAATTTAAAGTGCTGCAACTGTGGAAAGAAGGGTCACTTGAAGAAGGATTGTTGGAGTCTAAATAAAAACTCCAATCCACAAGGCAATACCGCAAACACTTCAGATGATGGAGATGATATATGCTGTAAAGTGTCAACCACCGTGGAAGGCAGAAAAAGATTTTTAGATATATGGCTCATTGATTCGGGAGTGACATATCACATGACCTCAAGAAGAGAATGGTTCCATCATTATGAACCTGTCTTAGGAGGATCTATGTATAGTTACAATGATCATGCCTTAGAGATCGTTGGCGTGGGAACCATCAAATTGAAGATGTATAATGGAACAATTAAAGTTGTTCGAGATGTGCGACACGTGAAAGGCCTGAAGAAAAATTTATTATCCTACGGATTGTTGGATAATAATGCAAGCAAGATTGAAACATGGAAAGGAATCATGAATGTGTTCCATGGAGCGCTTGTGGTGCTGAAAGGCGAAAAGATAACATCAAACTTGTACATGCTGAAGGGAGAGACTTTGCTATAAGCAGAAGCCTCTGTTGCCTCATGTAGTTCAGATTCGGCAATGCTATGGCATCAGAAACTTGGACCCATGTCAGAACAGGAAATGATAGTCCTTGTGGAGCAAAAGCTACTTCCAGCTTAACAAAGGTATCACTTACCTTGTGTGAGCATTGCATAACAAGTAAGCAGCACCGGTTTAAATTCAATACGTCAAATTCTAAAGGAAAAAGTGTTCTAGAATTGGTTCACTCTGACGTATGGCAAGCACCGGTTACATCCCTAGGCGGAGCAAAATACTTTGTCCCATTTATTGATGATTACTCTAGGAGATGCTGGTGTACCCTATTAAGAAGAAGTCAGATGTGTTTTCAACTTTCAAAAACTTCAAAGCGCGGGTGGAACTTGATTCTGGAAATAAGATCAAGTGTTTCAGAACAGATAATGGAGGAGAATACACAAGCGAAGAATTTGATGACTTTTGCAGGAAAGAAGGCATCAAAAGACAGTTCACAGTGGCGAACACTCCTCAACAAAATGGAGTGGCAGAGCGGATGAACAGAACCTTGTTAGAAAGAACAAGAGCAATGTTGAGGGATATAGGCCTAGAAAAATCATTCTGGGCGGAAGCAGTCAACACCACCTGTTATTTGGTGAATCGAGCTCCATCAACTGCAATAAAGCTGAAGACACCAATGGAGATGTGGACTGGTAAACTAGCTGATTATTCAAACCTTCACCTATTTGGAAGTATTGTATATGTGATGTACAACTCCCAAGAAATTTCAAAGCTGGATCCAAAATCCAGGAAATGCAAATTCTTGGGGTATGCTGATGGAGTAAAGGGGTATCCCTTGTGGGATCCCACTGCCCGTAAAGTGATCATCAGCACAGATGTTATCTTTGTAGAAGATAAACTACAAAGAAAAGAAGAAGATGGTAGCGCTGAAAAGTCAGAGACTACACAGATACATGTGGAAAAGGAGTTTGAACAAGGAGATTCTTTTGAAGAAGAACCAGCACATTATGAACAATAACCAGAGAGTCTGAAGCTCCAACAACTCGTCAATCAGATCATGTGAGAAGACGTCCCAATTGGTACTCAGATTATATTATAGAAGGTAATATTGCATACTGCCTTTTAACAGAGGACGGTGAGCCATCAACATACCAGGAGGCAATAAACAGCTCAGATGCTTCACTGTGGATGATGGCAATGCAAGAA